CTTCATGGCAGCTTTGATTCGCAGCTATGGTCCACATACTTTAATCTTGCGGTGGCTTATCTTACTCAGCCATCGCTTCAGCTCGAACAGTTCTCCGAAGTCAAGCGAGAAAAGATCGTAGAGAAGTACGGTGACATGAGAGTACTCATGGGTTTTCAGATATTGTCTATGTGGTCGCACTTGGGCGAACGTAAACTCGAATTCATACCAGGCATGGTAGGACCTTTCCTCGAGGTTACTTTAGTGCCAGAAAGTGAACTTCGCAAGGCAACTTTACATATCTTTTTCGATATGATGGAATGTGAGCAGCGAGCTCGCGGAAGCTTCAAGTCCGTGGAGTCTGAACTGATCGACAAGCTGGACATTCTTATCAGTGAAAACAAGGGCGATGATGAATATAGGCAATTGTTTAATACTATGTAAGTTTATATTTTATATTTTATATGTAAGTTTGTATTTTATATTTTAAGTCTCAAAATCTTATATTTTTAAAACATCCAAAAACGCAAAGATTTAAAAAAAATATATTAATTTTCTATCGAAATAAAAATTATTCTATGCTGTATTACTTCTAAAATATTTTAAATTATATATTTCTAATACTGTACAATTTTTCACGTTTACTATTATATTTTTATATTATACAAACACAGATGTCAACTATGTAGCATTTTTTCGTGTTTTTTTGTGTTAGTTTCATAAAAATATTATGACACTTATCGCATTTATAATTTCATGCCGCTTCAGGGAACATCTTAGCGCTGTGTAAGTGCAATACTTTAATTGAATGTGATTTTTAGTTTCAATATTTTTTAAATTCCTACATTTGTGATTACAGATTACTGGACAGAGTGCAATCCGAAGATCCCACATGGAAAGATAGTGGCACGGCTTTTATAACGTCTGTTACACGTTTATTGGAAAGGCTTCTTGATTATAGAAGCGTTATTCAGGGTGACGAGAATCGCGACAAGCGCATGTCGTGCACCGTGAATTTATTGGTAAGTGTTAAAGAAAGATTATCGATACAATAAATCCAATAAGATTTGATTAGTTATTACTTATTAGTAAAAGTATTATACTGCGGCTAAACCAAGGAATCTGCAGTGCGACTATATGTACAAATTACTTATGACTTAGCGCGTTAATTAACTAAACTGTGTGACACACGCGCACTGTATATATTCAATAGATATACTATATATTTGGTGTGCTTGATCACTCTATGCTTGGCAGTTAGCACTCGCGTTAGACTGTTCGCGCTTTCCGATGGAAATTTTATCATTGTGCCTGTCTCTCATTCCTTGTTAAATCATCAATCGCTAGAAGTGAAAAGTTCTCAGAATAACATGGGGATACTTTTGATGTTTTTGCAGAACTTTTACAAGAATGAGTTCAACCGGAAGGAGATGTACTTGCGCTACATTTACAAGCTGCATGATCTACATTTGGCCGCCGAAAATTATACGGAAGCGGGTTTTACGATGAAGTTATATGCCGATCAGCTGGGTTGGGGCTCGACTATTCTGCCATCCGATCACGCTCATCCCCAGCAACCAGAATGGCAGCGCAAAGAGTTACTGTATCATAAAATCATTCATTATCTCGACCGTGGCAAGTGCTGGGAAAAGGGTATACCCTTGTGCAAAGAACTGGCGATCCTGTACGAGACTAGACTATATGACTACGCCAAACTTAGTCACGTGTTGAAGCTACAGGCTAAGTTTCTAGATAACATTCTGACGCAACTACGCCCGGAACCAGAATACTTTCGCGTTGGATTTTATGGTCTTAGTTTTCCGCTGTTTGTCAGAGTGAGTTTGATTTATAATCCAAAGTGATTTTTAAAAATATTCTCAGTGTAATAAAATAACTTAAATATTATAATTCTATTCTATCAAAAATATTTTATCAAAGTTTAATTCGGATTTTCGGATTCGAATTTTTAGCATTATTTTATTTTTTGTGAAATAGGCGCCTCGAAAATGTTATTCTTCATTAAATGTTATAAATGTTATATGTTCGTGTCTTTTATTGTAGAACAAGTTATTTATTTATCGTGGTTTGGAATATGAACGTATAGGAGCGTTCACACAACGGCTGCAAACAGAGTTTCCATGTGCACAAATTTTAATGAAGAATTCCCCGCCTGATGAGAGTATTCTTACATCTGAGGGTCAATGTAAGTGAGATTAGATTTATTAATTTTTTTAAATTAAAAGAGAATCAATCTCAATATAATTTGAGAATCGAATAATTTATTATGAATATATTTTATTTAACAATTGGACATCGCATTTTTGCAGATATTCAAATTTGTAATGTGAAGCCAATCCCCGAAGAGGGTAGTTTGGCTTGCAGCGGTGTCGAAGTTCCGGAACGCGTAGTCGCATTTTATTTGGTGAATGATGTTCGCAAGTTCACGTTCGATCGGCCGCTGCATCGTGGCCCAGTGGATCGTGAGAACGAGTTCAAATCGTTGTGGATTGAGAGGACGACGTTAATGACAGAAGCTAAATTGCCAGGGATCCTCAGATGGTTCGAAGTAATCGAGAAGCGGTCGGAATTGTTGGCACCAGTACAATATGCCTGTGAGACTATGCAAAGCGTGGAAAGAGAATTGAGGCGATTGGTTGCGCAGTACACTGCGGAGCCACATAGAAATATTAATCCATTCAGCATGCGGCTGCAGGGAATCATCGACGCTAATGTAATGGGCGGTATCACCAAATATCAGGAGGCTTTTCTCACGCCCGAATTTGCCCGACAAAATCCCGAAATGGTACCGCATGTTAATCGATTAAAGGGATTGATATTGGATCAGATGAGTGTGTTAGAATCTGGTCTGATGTTGCACGGTCAAATTGCACCCACCGGAGTTCAACCATTGCATAAAAGGCTAATCGAGAGATTCACTCAGCTCAAGCAAGGCCTCGGTCCGTTGGCCAGACAGAGAACCATTCATCAAGACAGCATCGTGAAGTAATTATATTTTATATATTCTTGTACAGTTCGTTTCATTACAGGGTTAATTATTTTAATTACTGTTTCTGCTTGTGAGAATATCTGAAAATATTTTTGCTTTTGAAGTTCGCCTCTACCACCTTTGCCGGTCAACGACAAACAGCGTCCAGCCACTTTAGAAACCGCCGGCTCTAGATTGTCGCATGCTGACAGCGATGGTCTTCCCGAGGACGAAGGCTTTTATACGAAAGTGGATGGTATACCACCGCCTATTCCACAACGAGAAGTACGGCCGCGTTCCGTTGGTTATGGTACAACCCCGCCTAGACCCACGCATCAGAGATCTCTCAGTAAGCCGCTGAGCCCAAAACTGCCATTGAGGCATTCCTTGCCTACTCCTACTGACGGCATAGATCAAAGTGGCCTCAGAAGCTCGTGGAGCGAACCCGGACCCGAACCCGCTCCTCCACTACCACCTAGGGGTTGCAGTAAGTTATTTTCTCTTTTTCTATTATGATTTGTAATAAAATTTAATATAACGTCGAAAATAAATTTTTCATGAAAATATATCACGTTTTGTACTTCCTGTTTTAGTGCTAGACAAAAGAGATTCGAATACGAATACTGTTGTACCGCCGGCACCGCCAAAACGCGGTTTAACGCACAAACGCACAAATACAGAATGGAGCACGGATGATGACTCTGAAATCACGGAACCGAGAAACGAACCGAATGATCTGCGCGACAGCGGCATTTCTACAGCCAGTCTGCTAGATTTTCAATCACACTTGACAAATCTAAATAATCTAAGCTACGAAGACTTCGAGCCACGCTCCCGGTGCAACGACATCATGAACATTTCACCACCTTCTGTGATAAGTGCACTCAATGTCTCCACTGGCAGCTTCGCCAGCGGTACATTCCAGGGCTCGCATTCTCTCCCTAATCAAGAAGTGAGAAAATATAACTGGAAATATTTACTAACATATACAGTTACATATATAACATTTTCTTGAGTGAACAGATTGCTAATGAAATAAAATTGAAATAATTTTCTAATTAATTTTTTTTTGTTTCATATTTTTTCATTTTATAACAGATTTTCAAAAAATGCCAACAGATATTTATGTTCATGAACCACACTGATAGCAATGATTTCAATTTTCTTTTATAGGTGAGTCCTCCACCAATCCCTCCCAAGGCTCATCAAGACACTCCATCAGCTCCTTCCACCTTGGAGAGAGTATCCAACAGAACGCAGAGTCACGGACACTCGGAGAATTATTCCGTTCCGAAGATGCAGACGCTCTCCGTGGCATCCGATACAGAGAGCACCGTGTAGTGACGATATCCCCTTAGTCTCTAGTTAGTATTTAGTGATTTGTATGTGCCATTATGGTCAAGCGTGAATCCTGTTCTCGATTTATCTCTCGAGTTGTCAGGTGAATTCTCTTAGTAACTTAAGATAAACATAAGAATATCATCGTCGTCATCGTTGTCGTTGTCGTCATCGTGTCTAACGGGTGTGATACGCAGAGAAATGGTCTTACATCTGTCATTATCGAGATTTCTGACTTTTGTACAACACTCTCTGCACATAGCTGATAACAAACATTGTATAAGCCGAATCAAATCATAAACCGAAATCACATCGCATTCCCAAACATGAAATGAATTGTATCCAACCGCGTATATACGTACCTTCGTAGAGAAATAGAAAGGAAAGTGCGTAATAATCGCCCTTGAACACCGAAAACGTCCAACAAGAAGCTTCTTAATAGATTGAATTTATCTGAACGTGATCGGTGATCGAATCGCGATATTTATATATATACACACACACACACACACACACACACACACACACACACACACACACACACACACAAAACACACACACACACATATATCGATTTTACATAAAACATTCTTCCGAGTATATCAATCCACACATACTGACTATATATATTTTGTAATTTATTTATATTTTCAATGAGAAAATAAAGATAATTTTTAAATCAATGAATTGCTGGAGATTGTGTGGAGTGATATTGTCAACGTACAGTTGTGCGGATGTGGTTGGGAGAGAAGTTGGAAAAAAATGAACCCTACCCCAAAATACTGAGGGATATATAAATTATGTATTTTGTCACAGTTCTTTTTTTTCTCTTCGTCTCGTATGAGTGTATATACAAAAGTATGAAAAAATGCGCCACATGATTGTACGCTTTAACTTATGCTACTTTTTTTTCTTCATGGCATATAAAATAAAGAGAAAGATTGTAAACTTCTATAAAAAAAGTAAATAAAACCTAAATTATACATATACTTATGTAGGATGATTCTTAATTATATGTCAATATATTTTATAGAGAATGAATACAGAGCTCAAGAAAAAGATGGCGCATATGAAAATAAGTCTAAATGATTTAAACGTTTGACATTTCTTTGTTTCGGTTTTTAATTTTATCTTCTGAAATATTATTATGTAATTAAGAATCATTCTGTACATAGGAAAGAGAATAGGCAGTGGAATGTATACATTGCACAATACTGAGCTCATGGAAAGAAAAAATTTAAGATAGGATGGAATCAGTTTATAATGAATAATGATTGGAGATCATTTTTGTTCTCTGTATCTTTCTGAATATCATTGCTAATTGACGATGATCATTCATTAAGAATCGGAGATTCACAAATCGGAGCCGAATTGCTCCTGAATAAAAATTATAACAAGCGCAAATATTTATGGTGAGTCGATCAGAGTGTGATTGAACGATTTAGTGCAAACTTTGATCTTGTTTCACTAATTATCTATATTTATTTTAAATACAAAAAATTGTATTTAAAATACGACTTTAAATTATGAACTTTATTTTTTTTATTTGGATTCTAAATCGTTCAACTGTGTATTCTATTGGATAAAAATAACGAAATATTTTCCAATGATAAGCGAACTGCTGATTTGTAATTATAATATATATAGTATATATATATATATA